AAGGGAGAACAAGCGGAAAGGGCCCAAGGGGGGGGGGGGGAGAGGCTGGGGGCTGTCTGCAGCGTGCCCGTTGATTCATTCTGACACCGCCGGGCCCCTCGTTCTCTCTCTTTTAACCTGTGCGTGGAAATTATTCCCGTGGGTGGTTTCGCTTTGCTGAAAGGCTCAGGGAGGGGGCCTCTGTATGTCTCTGAAGGCCCCCTCCTGACAAAACTAGGCTGGGCTTTCCGGAGTGGGGGGCGCATAGGTGGGCGCGCAGGGCCATTGTGCAACCCAGTTCCCGAAGGCAGGAGGCCCTCGGCGTGCCAGAGGCATTCAGAGAAGGAAAACGCCTGCGCCTAAACCCCCCCCCCCCCCCCCCCCATAAAAAAAGGATTATGACTTCTCTCCGAAAGAAAACTATGGAAACCAGGAGGCTCCTGCTGGCCTGGCTGCTTTCCCTCTCGGCCCACGAGATTGTCACCACTTGGTACCAACTGTGCTGCCCTTTAATCGCCAGCGTGTCTGCATTGAAGGCAGGGCGGCTGATGGGGGGGGGGAAGAGCAGGATCCTCCCCCAGCCCGCCTCCCTTGTGCCAGGCGCAGGCAAGCCAGAAGGCAAGCTTTCAAATGGGGCCTTTTACTTGTTACAAATTACATGTCTGCCGATTTCTCTGCAGAGTTAAGGGGCGGGGAAGGTATATTTACTTTGCTCTGGTTAAAAGGCATGCACACAAAACTGAACCATGCAACTGATGTAGGGCTGGCAAGCTGAGGATGGTCTTGAGCCTTTCTGCTGCAGCATCACACTGAAGGCTCATGTCTTGCAAGGGTGTTGGCCATTACCCCCTAAGCCCTACAACTATCCTTCTTCATAGCTCTTCATCGATACCGAAAAGGGTGCCTTGGTTGCTGGTTGCTTAGCCGATCTAGTTCTACATACTCCTTGAGGCCTGGAGCATCCCTAAGCCACTTGGGGCCTGGCTGTTGAAGGGACCCCCCCCCTCTGACTGTGCCCCTCTCCAGATGGAGGGAGCCTCAGGTGGGGTCTTCTTCGGGATCCCCAGCCCCTGCAGTCCCTCTTGGCTGCTTGTGGGAACAGAGGGCTTGCACCTCGATTATACCCAGAGAACGAGGGGAAAAGGTAGCCCCTTCCAGTGCCAACTTGTTTCAGGGCTGTCTGTTTGTCTGTTTGTCTGTTGGTTTGTTTTCATCTTTCCCCCTCCCTTCCTGGTCTATAATAATAGCCCAGTTCTGGCTTCCCTAGAAAAGGCGGGCGTTGTTTTCCGTGCTTCTGCTAAGGCTGATCCCTCCCGTCCTGGAGATGCCCCGTGTTGTTTGCTGAGCCTCATCCAAGAATAAATCGGTATTTCATACCAATTAATCTCCTTGGCTCACGTTGCAGTGATTAATCTGCCTTGGATTTGTTTGGACATGAAAACTTCACAGGTTTCATTAAGAGCCCAATCCCTCTAATCAACCCCACCCCCGCCGTCGCCTACTACCCATCGCTCGCTTTCTCTAAGACAGGCGAGGGATCAGCGCAATTGGGCCGATCCTCCCCAGGCGGCTGGTGGTCGGATCAGAAGCCTCTTCTCTTGTTCCCGAAAGCCAACACGGCGGCCGGCGGAGCAGCTGCTTGGCTGGAAACTCTCTCGCATCAAGTTCCTGAGAATCCCCTCAAAGATTTTAGCAGGGCCCCAAACTTCCCTGAACAGCAGGGGAAGAGGGTGTGTGTGTGTGTGCTTGTGGGCAAGAGCAGAGGCCTCATCCTGCCTGCCACCCAGCTCTGCTTACAGAAATTTAGAACTCTCGATTGAGCCCACTGGAAAGACAAGAGCAGGAGGGGTTGCGTTGGTCACAATGAGCAACACACAAAAGGCTGGTTATTAGGGGGCTGACAATAGTTGGCTTTTACACAACGAGAACACACTATTGACATTTTCCATTGTAGAGACGCACCTCCTCTGGAGGTGAACCGTTGTTCGGCTTCCCTGGGAATGGCCGGTGATGGATCCCCTCTCGCTCTAAAGCTCTAACCCTCTCCCTTCAAGGGAGGACGGAGAGAGAGAGAGAGAGAGGGTGCAGCAGCAACGGGGCTCCAGAGAAACGAGTCTCCTCAAGGGGCTTGGATGCAAATCCTGCCCTCCTGCCTTTCAAGGCAAGTTCACCTGCAGGGTTTTAAGCCCTTCTCTTGCCTTTCTCTTACAGATGTGAACTCCAGGGAGAAGACCGACTCCCCCCAAGCCTTCGAACACCGTTCTGAGGAACCCACAACCCACGCCCTTCCCAGAGGAAACGGGGGCCCTAGGGATCCCCCCCTGGCAAGCTTTGTCCAGTCTACAGGAGGCACCTTGGACCCTCTTCTGGCAGAGAAGACCACCTCGCCTCACATGGGGGCCTCCACAGAGCCAACCGCCCTCCCAGATGCTGGCTTGAGACCGATCCTGCCGTCCAGGAGGAAGCCCTCCTCTCCCAAACAAGGGAGCGCCTCCAGGAAGCACGAGAGACTCAGAACCGCAGCCGCGGTGGCTCGGCCCAGCCCGACCGGTTTACGGGCGCTCGTGTCCACAGACATCCCACCCCTTTTTGCAGAGGAGGGGGACATGGCAGCCGTGGCTCACAGCGGTCACCCCACCCTGCCCGAGCAGACCTCCTGGGCTAGCAAGGCAGCGGGCTTCGGGGCCACCAGGCATTCCCGCCTGCAGATCTCGCCTTTCACGGCACCGCCGATCGCCCCCCGGGTGTTTCCTCCAAGTCCAGGCGCCACAGGGCAGCCGGGGGCCGCCTTTCACGAGGGGGTCATCCAGGCGGCAGCTGCCAGCAAGGCCGGGAGCGCCAAGGATGAGGCGCAGACAAGAGCTGTGCCCAGCAAAGGTCATGGAACCACCACGCCCACCACCATCACGACCACGGTGGTCACCACCGAGCCACCGCCAAGTAAGGTGTTTCGAGCGTTCGCTGATGCGTGCGTGGCATTGACCAGAATAAGCAGCAAGCCCAAACTCCGGTGGCCTCTGGCATTCGGGGGGGGGTCTGAGTGACCCAAGTGGGGAGCCCTCGGGGACCTTCCCTGCTTCCGTTCCTCTGAGGTTTTGGGGCTCTTACAGCCCCAGCTTGGAGGCCATGGTTTCGGACTACACCTCCCAGAATCCCCACGTCAACATCATTGGTGGCTAGGGTGGCCGAGGGGAGCCTGGAAGCTGTAGTCCAAGAGCCGCTGCCTTTCCTGCTTCTTCAGCACAAACCAGCTGTGATAGGGTAGGTGGAGACATTAAATGGCCCCTGGGTTGGTTTGCTTAACTTTGTGTAGAACCTTTGAACCGTGGGAAGGGAAGGGAAGGGCACAAGAGGGGAGGGGAGGTGAAGGGAAGAGCCCCCCGAGGAGAAAACTCAGCCTCCTCTTATGCAATGGGAAAGGAAGAACCGCAGTTGTGGGCGGCGATGGGGGGTGTCAGTAAAAGGGGATAAACAAAGAGAGCGTCTGAGTCCACTTCTTTCGTGCCCAAGCATTCTCTCTCTCTCTCTCTCTCTCTCTCACACACACACACACACACACACACACTCACACACACACTCACACACACACACACACACACACACACACACACACACACACACACACACACACGTCCCCAAAGAGGACCGCCAGGACTGGACGCAGTCCGAGCCCTAACCAAGGAAAGGGCGACTCCTGGGAAGGCTTTCTGGGGGAGAGTTTGGCAAGGGGTCCGAAGCAGGGCGCGGGCGCACGCTCTCTGCTGACCTCGGCCCTTCCCTTCAGGTCTCTGCAGGGTGAACTTCTACGAGGCCGAGGGCTACATCGACTCCACGGATTACCCGCCACTGCCGAGGAGCCACTTCCTGGAGTGCACGTACAACGTGACCGTCTACACGGGATATGGGGTGGAGCTGCAGGTAGGATGTGGGGAAAGGGAGGAGCAGGGCAGAGCGAGAAGCTGACCGAGGGGGGGGGGCTCTTAAGGCTTGCTTCTGCGCAAAGGCCCTTTCCTCAACCCCCTGCTGCCCCTTATCCTGCTTCCAAAGGAATGCATGGCCATCCTCCTTGCTTGGCCAGTCGCATTTCCCCTGCTCTTCTGGGGGAAAGCGTCTGCCATCAAGAATGGCATGAAACATGGAAGAAAACCTGTAAGGGAAATGCTCGGGGAAAACGCCTGTTTCCAAGTAACTAGGGACATGTGACTCATTGCAGCACCGAAGTCACGCTGGCCTCAATCCTGTTGCAAACAACGAGAAGGGAGCGCTGGTTTGCCATTCAGCACTCGATTTGGTGAGCCACCTCTTGTTGGGCTTCACAAGTGGATTTAGGCTTGCCCCCTCCCTCCTGCTTCCCCCTCCCTTTTGAAATGTAACTTCATTATGCTTTCCTCTCTTGACATACAAGGAGTGACTGTACCCTGATTATTTCACAGAGATGCATTTATGTCTCATGCGATCAAATCTCTTCCCGGCTCAGCCCCGAGTCCTGTTTCTGTGTCACCTCTGAAAAGTGCTTGGGATTAAAACGTGTACCTCTGAACATGTGCAAAGCACCCTCATCTTCTCACCACCTGTTCTCCTCTCCCTCAAACACACATCAACAGGACTGAACAACAGGACTTCTCGGCCTGTCTGAATGCCCGGGCATTTTCACAATCAGGCCTTGAATGTTTAGTGTCGGGTTGTTTTTTTTTTTTAAGGCCCAGGAAAAGTTGCAGCCGGGGGGGGGTGATTTTTGTCCTCTGCTTGGCACAAACGTTACCTCCTGGCTCGACCCAGGTGACAAAAGGCAAAGATTTTAATGGAGCAGAAAATTAGCTTCTCCGACACCTTGGAGCTGGCCGGATTCCAGTTGCTCAAGGCAAGAGAACAGCCTGGAAGCGGCCCCCAGCTTGCCCACGTGGGCGCCCCCTTCCTGCCACTAGCCAGCGGCAAGTCTGCGGGGGGGGTGGGCTTCTGTGGCAAGGGGCTCCCCTGCTCCATCAAGGCCTCCGCAAGCCAGACGGCTGGACGGAAGGTGCCGGACGCCCACCAGAAAGGCCCAGAGGCAAACCTCCTGGCCATTTGTCCAGAGAACGGGAACCCTCCATCTAAACGCCCAGCTGTTGCTGTCATGGTTCTTCCTCCTGGAAGACTCCCCTGCTTCGTCTGATGGGGTGTATGGGGGGGGGCATGTCCAAGGCTCCGTTCGTTCCCTCCGCAGGGACTTCCAACACCGGCTGTCGGTGGCTGACCAGACTCACAGGGGGCATCGTCCAGGGCAGGCTGATGCCGAGGTCTTGGCAGAGAAGCCCCCAAAAGGGGTCTGGCCGTGCGTGGGCTTGCCCTCGGAGCTGCAGGTGAACCAGAGACCTCGGGGCTGCTTCCCCCCCCCCGACTGAGAGGTCACCGACAGAGATGCTGGATTGGGGTGGGGGTGGGGGTGGGGCCAGAGAGTCAGGTTGATGTGCCAAACGCATTCCCTGGATCCCACCCTGACCTCTCTTTTGGCCCAGATGGGCAACACGTCTTGGACCGGTTTGATCTTAACTGAGAAACAGTCCCGCCTCTCCAAACCGGCCTCTTGATCTGGGCTCAGCGTCTTGTGCTGTCTTAATCCTGCCAAGCCTCTGGTTTCCATGAACAGGAGAAAGTGTTCTCTGGCCTTGAAGAAACTGGCACATTTCAGGATGAGGCCCCCAGGCATGCCCACGAAATCCGTTAGCCTTGAAGGTCTTGTGGTGGGGGCCTCTGTCTTGCTTCCCTTTCCCAGTGGGGTTAGCCTCTGTAAGCGACACGTAGGGAGCACGTCTCTCCCCCCCACACATGTGCGTGCATGCACACCAGTGGCGGCTCCCGCTGTTGGTAGGAGCAACGCAGAGAGAGGGCTCCGAAAGCCCTCCCAAGTGATATTCCAAGGGGTGTGGGTGGGTGTGCAGAGAGAAGCAGCCAGGTCATCAGGCCAGGCAGCCGGAGCAACATCTGCCAGGCTGTAGCGGCAAACATTTCCCAGCCTGGACAGGGGTCACCCTTATCGTATCCCTCCAGCTTAAGGGATAAAGAAGGAGGAAAGAAAAGGAAACCACTAAGCTGATCCGGGCAACCGGCTGGCAGGAGAAATGGGCTTTCACAAGGCCTTTGTGCTTCTGGAGCTCTGTGTGTGTGTGTGTGGGGGAGAGGTGGTTCCCCCAACAGTCCCTCACCCAAACAGCTCCCAGAGGCCTCGCTCCAGCTCTCCTGGCTGACACACACCCAGAGAGAAATGTCCCTGGCACATGGAGGCTCCTGAGCCGTGCCCGTTAGTCGCCAGCTTCTGCCACGGCTAGATCCAGAAGTGTGGCTGGAATTCCCTTTGGGGGGGGCAGGAGAGGATGGGAAGAGACCTAATCCGGGCTCCCAGGGGTCCACATGGGGAGCTGGGGATGGTCCTAGTGCTCCCCCCAGGCCCCTTCCCATCTAAGAGGGGGGGCTTCCTGTTGCGTTCCCTGGGCATTTACTGTTTGTCTCTGGAGAACAATTGTGCTTTCTTCAGCCTCCATTATATCTGCTTTTCTTGATGCCTGAGTATGCTTTCTGTCTTTGCTGAAGCCTCATTGCTTCTTTCTCCTGGGATGTGTCTTTTCTCGAAGGCTTTCACAGCCATGATCAGAGGGTTGTTGTAGGTTTTTTGGGCTGTTTGGCTGTGTTCAGAACACAGACAGAGTTCCGACTCCTGTCCCCTGAAGATGCCCATGGCCACAGAGACCGGCGAAATGTTAGGAAGAACAACCTTCAGAAAAACGGCCAAAGAGCCCGAAAAACCCACAACAGCCATTTGCCTTTTCATCCGTGCTGTTGGTTTCAGAGCCTGGTTGGTGGGGCTGAGGACCGGTTGCCCCAAAGCACGGCTGGCTGGCTCTGGGTAAAGGGGTTGGGTGGGTAAGGACGCCTCTTCTGATGTTCTTGGGTCAGATACCATTTAAAAAAACCAAACAGCCCAGACTGTGATGGCGTCTAAAACTGAACCCACAGGCCACGGAGGAGCCGTACTACGGCATCCAAACAGTGCTGGGTTCAATTCCCAGCATCTCTTGCGTTTAAAATCCTCGGAAGATGTTGTTGCTGCCGACAGATCCCAAGGGGCCACCAGTCTGTCCCAGTCAGAGTGAGCCACCTGTGGAACTGCTGCCCGATGGCTGCCTTGCCCATCATCCCCACTGAGTATCAGAACCACCTGAATGCACTGACTTGTGCCGTGAGCAACGCCGCCTTCTCCTGGGAAAGTAGCCGTATTACACCAACGGGCGGGCGGGGAGGGGGGCCCTCGTGAACACCCAGTCGATGCATGATGGCCGACGGCTGGCACTTCCCATCATGAGAAGCGGGTATTTATTGATTTGAATTTACTGTGAAGTGCTTTTACTTCTCCGCTCGTCCTGAATAATAACCAAAGCATTTGTTTGTCCAGGACTTGACGCATCATCATCATCATCATCTCTGAGATGCTGAGCGGGGCTGTTTTTCCCCTGATTCAGTGGAGCCTCCGAGAACAGACGGAGATGTTTTTTCCTAGCCTGTGTTTTTTTTTTCTTCCAGCTTTTTCATTGGCAAGACAGATCCGATTCTTTTAAATTTTTGAGGGTGTGAAGCAAACGAGGACAGGGAACAGTTCGGTTGTCCTTCCCTCGTCCAGAGGAAGCAGCCAATTTGAGAAGGGCATCTTCTTTTATCTCAGCCTTCCTGGAGGAAGGGAATGTCCCTGGCTCTTTGTTTATTTGAACTGTATGCATTATTATTTATTTTAATTTATATTATTCATCTGCTGCCTTCCCCCCCCCATAGGGGGCCCAAGGCGAACTAAAAGCAAACAACAGTTGAAAAGATACTATATAAATATCATATTTTTAAAAAGCAATTCAGATGAAAAAGACGAGACAGAATAGCCAGTTGCGTGTGTCTCTGTGAATACTGTGCCTTCAGACCAAGCCCCATGCCTGCAGTCCACGGGTGGGTGTCTTCTGGTGCCCCTGCTTCAACCCTGGCGGTCTTCATCATCATCATCATCTTCTTCTTCCTTCAGTCCTGGGCGTCAAGGTGAAGAACGTGAACCTGTCCGAGGGGGAGGTGCTCTCCATCCGTGGGGTGGAGGACGACCGCTTGGTGGTCTTGGCCAACCAGACGCTCCTGGTGGAAGGGCAGGTGATCCGAAGCCTGACCAACACCATCTCGGTCTTCTTCCGGACCTTCCAGGACGAGGAGATGGGGACATTCCAGCTTCATTACCAAGGCAAGGGGCGCCTCCTCTTGGGGAGGGCGAGGGGTGGTGGTGGCCGTTGGGAGCAGCTCCTTTGGGCCCCAAGGAGGAGTCCTGCCCAACACACGCAACTTCCAGTTTGAACGTGACGGCTTTGGACNAGTGGGAGGGAGGGAGGGAGGGTTGCCGGAAGGGGGCCTTCCTGTGGCTCTGGTCCCCTCTTTGGGGCTTCCCCAGATGGACCCCCTAATTGGCCACGGCCAGTTGTAGGCGTTCCTCCCCCAACCCCAAACCCCAGTTAGCATCAGGGTTTCCGGGGGGGGGCGGCGACTTCACTCCCATCTCCTGACCTTTCAGGGCCTGAAGCCTAAGATGGGGAGGGCAGGTACTGGTGAGGGGTAGGTGGGAGAGAAGGAGCCCACCGTGGGGGCCACCGGGGCCCCTGGAGCCCCACGAGAGGGGAAGGCCCGGCAAGAGGGAAGGGAGAGCCCGTAGCTGAGGAGGGGAGGGATCTCCTCGGGGGGGGTTTCTCTCTCTTTGGGGTGCTCTCTTCTCTCTCCCTCCCTTCAAGAGTGTTCCCTGAGCCTCACATGCCTCAGCCAGCAATCAGCCTCAAAGAACAACACCCTCTGGCCCCCTCCCTGTGGGGCAGGGGGTGCCTTGCTTGCCCACACCCATGCAAAGGATCTGGGGAAGCAACCCGGGGCTCGGAGGCCTTGCCCCCCCCCAGCCCTGCCTCCAAAAGAGACGTTTTCCCCAGAGGCGAAGCCATGGCCCCCTCCCGGCTTCTCCCCGATGGGGGTCTTCTGGGCACCCTCCCCCTCCCCTCCCCACAGCGCAGGCACAGCTGTTGCTCCCATGAGCGGAGCCGAGCCCCTTGGCAGCCCCACTGAGGAGGGGCGTTGGTGGCCAGGGGCTCCTCCGCGTCTGTGACAAGCCTCCCCCCCCCACAACCCCGGCACGTTCCCCTGGTCTCTGGGGCGACTTCCAGCCTTTTAGGGTCCTTCCCTGCATGAACCGCAGAGGTGAGCTTCTTCTCTGTCGGTCAGGAGTAAAGGGACTGCCGTGGCGTTTGCCTTCAGAAAAAAAAAAAGAGAGATGGAGAGAGAGAGAGAAGGAAAGGAGGAGGACAAAAGCCTGGAAAATGGATTGTAATCAAAGCTTCCCCCGTGGCTTTCTGTGACACAGTGGAAGAAGGGGGGAAATTGATCCCCCTGAGCAGAGGAAGGAGGGGGGGCTGCAAGGGAAAAGGTGGCCACGTGCCTTCTGTTTTGGGGGACCGGTCCTTCCTTGGAAGGGCTGCCCGGCTCAAGTCTGATTTAAGGGCCAAGAAGAGGGAGAAGGGGTCAGATCCTGAGCAGCCAGCCCGGAGAGCAGCCTCCTGCTGGGCCCCCTGGGAGAGGGGGAGGCCCCGCTTCTCACGCCTGCGCCTCCCCTTGCAGTGTTCATGCTGAGCTGCAGCTTCCCGCGGAGGCCAGAATTTGGGGAAGTGGCCGTCATGGGCTTGCACTCGGGCGCCGTGGCCCGTTTTCATTGCCACCTGGGCTACGTGCTGGAAGGCGCCGATGCCCTGAGCTGCCTCAACGCGTCCAAGCCTCACTGGAGCGCCCTGGAGCCCGTCTGCTCAGGTAGGGCCAAAGCCGGGGGGGCGGAGGAGGGGGGCAGTGGGCCAGAGGGGCAGGATCCTCCAAGCAGGCCCAGGGCTTGCCTGGTTCCCCCCCCCCACCCAGCTCTCACCTTTCCCTCTTCCAGCACCCTGCGGAGGGAAGGTGGAGAACGCCACCATCGGCCGGATCCTGGCACCCACTCGCTGGAAGAACCGCACCGAGAGTGTGGCTTGCGTGTGGACCATCAGCGCACCGCAGGGACAGAAGCTGCACTTGCATTTTGAGAAGCTGGTGCTGGGAGAGAAACAGAGGTGAGGGCTCTGCTCCGACCTTTCCCTCTTCCAGCACCCTGCGGAGGGAAGGTGGAGAACGCCACCATCGGCCGGATCCTGGCACCCACTCGCTGGAAGAACCGCACCGAGAGTGTGGCTTGCGTGTGGACCATCAGCGCACCGCAGGGACAGAAGCTGCACTTGCATTTTGAGAAGCTGGTGCTGGGAGAGAAACAGAGGTGAGGGCTCTGCTCCGAGAGGGCTCTGCTCTGCTCCNGCCAAGGTGTGAATCAAGAGGCACATCGCCCTGGAGCACAAGGTCCCATTTAAGGCCACTGATGCTTGTGTTTAAAGGAGCATTTAAAAAGGAAGAAAGAAACCTAACTTGGAGGCAGCCCATAAAGGAGCTTTATGAGCTGTTCTGAAATGGGCGAGTAAAACACCTGTTTATGGCCGCAGTTAA